GCCTCAAAATATCTTAAAAGTGTATTTTGTGACCCAGAAAGAGTAATATTACAACTAAGTAGCTGCCGCCATTGTTGGAATTCAACTTTTGCGAGATCTCGCAAAAGTCCGTCTTAATCTTTTTTTTCTCCCATGTCCCCTGCGGGGCTCCGTAGGATTATATGGTGCACTGTCAATTTTAAAAAAAAAATTAAAAAAAATTAAAGGACTTTAAATGGTAAATGGACTGGTTCTTATATAGCGCTTTTCTACTCTCACTGCTACTCAGAGTGCTTTCTACAACTGGTGCATTCACCCGATCATACCCATTCACACAAGCACATTATCTAAGGTTTCTAGTGCTTCTATCTGACATTCACTCGAATTCACACTCCAATGGATGCATCAGGGGGCAACATGGGGTTAGTATCTTGCCCAAAGATATTTGGCATGTAGACTGGAGGAGCCTGGGATCGAACCACCAACCCTCTGGTGAGTAAATGACCCGTGATTTTTAGCTAACTGAAACACAGTTGGTCATATTATAATAAAATTCCACAACAGAAAAGAATACAATTTGTATTTTAACTTGGAATTAAATTCTTAGGAATGTAGGGTAGCAGAACAAGTAGAATAAAAGTAAAATACAAGAGATAAATGATTCTAAAAAAAGCCTGCACTAGAGTGCCTCTTTTGTTCAAGCAGCCTTTGAATAACACAACGTTAGCATACTTTGTTTTGTTTTAAATGTTGCTTCACAATATGCAAAAACAGAACTTCAGCAGTGACAGCACAGTGATATAGTGGTTAGAGCTATTGCCTCACAGCAAGAAGGTTATATTTTTAAATCCATCCTGGGATCTTTTCCCTTTGTAGGTACTTCAGATTCCTCCCAACAGCCCAAAGACATGTATGGAGTTGGGTTAATTGGTGATGCTAAATAGGTACGAATGACTCTGGTGAAGCCTGACACTGGACTAGATAAGTAGACAAAATACAGCAGCTGCACCTTTGACTTACAGATATATGTAGCAAACTACACTGAAAGAGTTGGTGTTTATAGATGCACAGTGACAGGAAACAACTCACCTCAAATATCTTAAACCTAAAGTAATAAGCTGTTTTGATAATGCAGTTATACAAATAGAGATATTTCTGTAAAAATGTAGGAAGTGATAGTCAGAAAATAAAGAAAAATGGTAATAGTAAAACTGTCTGTGAGTTTTACACCTGAAACTATTACAGCTTTGTGCTAATGGATAATGGTGACTTTAGCATATTCTTATGCTTAATATTTAGTGTACATAAACAATAAAATAATTATCACATTTAACCCTATAGCTTTAGCTGGTACACAAGCATGCTAACGCTTGCTAATTTGCACAAAACACAAATGATATGTAGATTAGATTAGATTAGATTAGATTAGATTAGATAGAACTTTATTAATCCCTCGGGTGGGTTCCTCTGGGAAATTCGATTTCCAAAAAAGCACAGCACTGACAGAAGTTACAGAGTTACAGAATATTATAAACACACACACACACACACACACACATATATATAAATACAGAGACAATATAAATAAAATAT